TTATTAATCTCGGATTCTCATTTTCCAGGCCCATATCATATTTTAAAATAGCCAGATATTTTCAGGTTTTCAATGATCATGTGAATCCTGAAAATATCTGGATATATTGTGACTGAAATTAAGTGACTTGATATTAATTCAGGACTCTTACTCATGTGATATGGAGTAAATATTGGAAACATGATGAAATCAGAATGATGCAGACCACTGACTGCTGAACGGTAAGATTGTCAGAGAGTCAGACCTACACCAGAAGAATGGCAAGACGGTGTCAGTGAAGGTGGTTGTAAATGTGTGTAGATGTGCGTTAGTTACAGGATCAGAGAATGACACCGTTCCTCTGTCATAGTCCAGATCAACTCTCACACGCTCAAGATTCTGTTTAACAGAAAAACCAAACTCAGGCAGTACTTTCTGATTATAATACACACAACAGACATCACTTTTAAAGAAATCCCATCCCTTCCTTTGGTTTAATGCTGCAGTTACTCCAATACTCCAGTACTGACTCTCTTTAACCTCCACATCCCAGCAGTGTGTTCCTGAGTTAAAACCCTCTGAACCCAGGACACAGGGATACCAGTCAAATCTCTCTGGATTATCAGGAAGCAGTTGCTTGTTCCCGGTCCATTTCACACTGGTCAGATCATCAGATACGACGAGATGTGGATTTGCAGTGTTTGGATCCAGGATCACAGGAGCTGATGAGACACAATTAACAGGTGTTTTTATTCTGATGTTCATATAATGATCAAGAATGAACTGAACACAGATTATTATGAATTATGACACCCAAAGGGTACACCAATGACAGCTGTTCCTGAGAATGCATCAACTATAAGCATTAAATGTGTGATCCAAACATTTCTGTCACTTCTAGAGAAACTGGTATTTTGGATAAAAAAATCAAATAATCAAACAATCAGAAAAATTCTGTTCAGCATCATCTGATCATAGTCATTAAACTGGGTCTTAATTTGTGTGTGTTTGTTTTAAAATAATTTGTTACTGTCTGTTTTGACTTTGCGTAACGCAGACGTTTAAACACAATTTATAGATGAAACCTGCTATGATTACTTTTAAAGCATGAATTTGATTTAAACAATATATCTACATAATATTAACATATGCAGTTCATTTGGGACATTGTATTAGCCCTACCGTTAAAGGGGTCCTATTATGTCAGTGTGTAGTGTGTATGTTTGGGCATAAAAAAAATCTACAAATATCTATCTATCTATCATCTGACCTTAGCAACCACATAGCAACACATTAGCAACCGCTCTAGTAACCACCCCAAGTACCCTAGCAACCAAATAGCAACACCTTAGCAACCACACGGGTATTCTAGCAGCTGCATCTATCTGTCTGTCTTCAGTCTGATTCTATCTATCTATCTATCTCTGACTGTTCAGCATCATCTGATCATAGTCATTAAACTGGGTCTTAATTTGTGTGTGTTTGTTTTAAAATAATTTGTTACTGTCTGTTTTGTTTGACTTTGCGTAACGCAGACGTTTAAACAGACAATTCATAGATGAAACCTGCTATGATTACTTTTAAAGCATGAATTTGATTTAAACTATATATCTACATAATATTAACATATGCAGTTCATTTGGGACATTGTATTAGCCCTACCGTTAAAGGGGTCCTATTACGCTTTTTCACTTTTTTAATTTTAGTCAGTGTGTAGTGTGTATGTTTGGGCATAAAAAAAATCTACTATCTATCTATCTATCTATCTATCTATCTATCTATCTATCTATCTATCTATCTATCTATCTATCTATCTATCTATCTATCTACCATCTGACTATTTCTTTCTTTCTTTCATTCTTTCTAACTATCATCTGACTATTTCTATCTATCTATCTTCATAGCAACACTGTAGCAACTATCCAAACCAACCCAGCAACCACCCCGGGTACCCTAGCAACCGCATGCTAATCATGCTAATGACATGGTAGTCACTTGCTAATCATGTTGGAAATATACTAGCGACATGATAGTCACTTGCTAATCATGCAAATGACATGCTAATCACTGGCTAGTCATGCCAGCAACAGGCTAGTCACTTGCTAATCATGCCAGCAACATGCTTGTCACTTGCTAATCATGCTAGCAACATGCTAGTAACTTGCTAATCATGCTAGCAACATGCTAGTAACTTGTTAATCATGCTAGCAACATCCTGTAAACATGCTAACAACATGCTACTAACTGGCTAAACATGCTAGTAACTACATGAGTATTCTACCAGCTGCATCTATCTATCTATCTATCTATCTATCTATCTATCTATCATCTGACTATTTCTATCTATCTATCTATCTATCTATCTATCTATCTATCTATCTATCTATCTATCTATCTATCTATCTATCTATCTATCTATCTATCTATCTATCTACCATCTGACTATTTCTTTCTTTCTTTCATTCTTTCTAACTATCATCTGACTATTTCTATCTATCTATCTATCTATCTATCTATCTATCTATCTCTTTCTTTTCTATCTATCTATCTATCTATCTATCTATCTATCTATCTACCATCTGACTATTTCTTTCTTTCTTTCATTCTTTCTAACTATCATCTGACTATTTCTATCTATCTATCTTCATAGCAACACTGTAGCAACTATCCAAACCAACCCAGCAACCACCCCGGATAACCTAGCAACCGCATGCTAATCATGCTAATGACTTGCTAGTCACTTGGTAATCATTGCTAGCAACATGCTAGTTACTTGTTAATAATGCCAGCAACATGCTAGCGAAATGCTAATCATGCTGGAAACACACTAGCAACATGCTATTAACTACATGAATATTCTACCAGCTGCATCTATCTATCTATCTATCTATCTATCTATCTATCTATCTATCTATCTATCTATCTATCTTTTTCTTTCTTTCTAACCATCATCTGACTATTTCTATCTATCTGACTATCTATCTATCTATCTATCTATCATCAATTTCTTTCTTTCTAATTATTATCTGACTATTTCTATCTATCTATCTATCTATCTATCTATCTATCTATCTATCTATCTATCTATCTATCTATCTATCTATCTAAACCAACCCAGCAACCACCCCGGGTACTAGGGCTGCACAATAAATCGCAATCGTTGTTCACTGAAAAGCTGCGTAAAACCACAATCATATTTTGAGCATGTTTTGCGCAGCTTGTCGTGAACAACGGCTCTGTGTAGTTTATGCTGCTCCATGTGAAAGCCCGCACGTGATGGAGATTTACCGCTGATTACAGAATGGCTTTACTGACAAGATGCACGTTAAATATCGCATGCAATTTATCATGCAGCCCTACCGGTTACCCTAGCAACCACATGCTAATCATGCTAATGACATGCTAGTCACTTGCTAATCATGCTGGAAACATGCTAGCGACATGATAGTCACTTGCTAATCATGCAAATGACATGCTAGTCACTGGCTATTAATGCTAGCAACAGGCTAGTCACTTGCTAATAATGCTAGCAACATGTTAGTAACTTGCTAATCATGCTAGCAACATGTTTGAAACATGATAACAACATGCTAGTAACTTAATTATCATGCTAACGACAATGTAGTCACTTGCTAGGCATGTTAACAACATGCTAGTCACTTGCTAATCATGCTAACAACATGATAGCAACATGCTAGTCACTTGCAAATCATGCTAGCAACATGCTAGTAACTGGCTAATCATGCTAGCAACATCCTATAAACATGTTAACGACATGCAACTCACTTGCTAATCATGCTAGTCACTTGCTAATCATTGCTAGCAACATGTTAGTTACTTGTTTATAATGCCAGCCACATGCTAGCGAAATGCTAATCATGCTGGAAACACACTAGCGAAATGCTAGTAACTACATGAGTATTCAAACTGCTGCATCTATCTATCTATCTATCTATCTATCTATCTATCTATCAACACTGTAGCATCTATCCAAACCAACCGAGCAATCACCCCGGGTACCCTAGCAACCGCATGCTAATCATGCTAATGACATGCTAGTCACTTGCTAATCATGCTGGAAACATGCTAGCGACATGATAGTCACTTGTTAATCATGCAAATTACATGCTAGTCACAGGCTAGTCATGTTAACAACAGGCTAGTCACTTGCTAATCATGCAAATTACATGCTAGTCACAGGCTAGTCATGTTAACAACAGGATAGTCACTTGCTAATCATGTTAGCAACATGCTTGTCACTTGCTAATCATGCTGACAAAATGTTAGTAACATGCTAATCATGCTAGCAACATGTTTGAAACATGCTAACAACATGCTAGTAACTAAATTATCATGCCAACGACAATCTAGTTACTTGCTAGGCATGTTAACAACACGATAGTCACTTGCTAATCATCCTAACAACATGACAGAAACATGCTAGTCACTTGCAAATCATGCTAGCAACATGCTAGTAACTGGCTAATCATGCTAACAACATCCTGTAAACATGCTAACGACATGCAACTCATTTGCTAATCATGCTAGTCACTTGCTAATCATTGCTAGCAAACATGCTAGTTACTTGTTAATAATGCCAGCAACATGCAAGCAAAATGCTAATCATGCTGGAAACACACTAGCGACATGCTAGTAACTACATTAGCATTCTACCAGCTGCATCTATCTATCTATCTATCTATCTATCTATCTATCTATCTATCTTCATACCAACACCCTAGCAACTATCCAAACAAACCTAGCAACCACCCTGAGTACCTTAGCAACCGCATAGCAAAACCTTAGCAAGTGCATAGCAACACGCTAGCAACTGCTCCGGGTACCCTAGCAACCGCATAGTAACACCTTATCAACCACCACAGGTACCATAATAACCGCATAGAAACACCCTAGCAACCATCCCGGGTACCCTAGCAACTGCATAGGAACACCTTAACAACCACCCCCGGTACCCAAGCAAACGCATTGCAACACCCTAGCAACCACCACGAACACCTTAGCAACCGCATAGCAACACCTTAGCAACCGCCCCGGGTACCCTAGCAACCACATAGCAACACGCTAGCAACCATCCCAGGTACCCTAGCAACCGCTCTAGTAACCGCCCCAAGTACCCTAGCAACCGAATAGCAATACCTTAGCAACCACACTGGTATTCTGGCAGCTGCATTTCTTTCTATCTATCATCTGACTTTTTCTATCTATCTATCTATCATCTGACTATTTATATCTATCTATCTATCTATCTATCTATCTATATCTATCTATCTTCATTGCAACTATCCAAACCAACCTAGCAACCACCCCAAGTACCTTAGCAACCGCCCCGGGTACCCTAGCAACCAAATAGCAACACCTTAGCAACCACGCCGGGTACCCTAGCAAATGCAGAGCAACACCCAAGCAACCACCCTGAGTACCTTAGCAACCGCATAGCAACACCTTAGCGATCGCCCTGTGTACCCTAGCAACTGTATAGCAACACCCTAGCAACAACCCGAGTACCTTAACGACAACATAGCAACACCTTAGCAACCGCCCCGGGTACCATATCAACCGCATAGCAACACCTTAGCAACCACCCCAAGTACCCTAGCAACCGCATAGCAACGTTTTAGCAACCACCAAGGGTACCTTAACGACCACATAGCAACACCTTTGCAACCGCCCCGGGTACCATATCAACCGCATAGCAACACCTTAGCAACCACCCCAAGTACCCTAGCAACCGCATAGCAACGTTTTAGCAACCACCAAGGGTACCTTAACGACCACATAGCAACACCTTTGCAACCGCCCCGGGTACCATATCAACCGCATAGCAACACCTTAGCAACCACCCCAAGTACCCTAGCAACCGCATAGCAACGTTTTAGCAACCACCAAGGGTACCTTAACGACCACATAGCAACACCTTTGCAACCGCCCCGGGTACCATATCAACCGCATAGCAACACCTTAGCAACCACCCCAAGTACCCTAGCAACCACATAGCAATGCCTTAGCAACCACCCCAAGTACCCTAGCAACCGCATAGCAACGCCTTAGCAACCACCAAGGGTACCTTCGCAACCGCATAGCAACCCCCCAGCAACTACCCCACGTACCCTAGCAACCGCATAGAAACACCTTAGCAACCACCCAGGGTACCCTAGCAACTACACCAAGTAACCTAGCAACCGTATAGCAACACCCCAGCAATCACCCCAAGTACCCTAGCAACCACATAGCAACACCTTAGCAACTACCCCGCATACCTTAGCAACTGCATAGCAACACCCTAGCAACCACCCCAAGTACCCTAGAAACCGCATTGCAACACCCTAGAAACCACCCAAATTACCCTACCTTTTACATATCCGACCCTAGAAATCTATGTAGTGCGAGTAACGTACTTGTCAAAAAAGCTACTTGAGTAAGAGTAAAAGAGTAGCCTATTTAAAAGTACTCATGAGTATTGAGTAGTGAGTACTGAGCTGTGGATTCTACCCCCTCATAATAAACGCTGTACACCGCATTTGATACATTTTAAAAACGTTGTACATTCTGTAATTCACATTATCTTGTTTGTCATAAAGAATGAAGAATATCTATCATCCAGAAGTTTTAATTTTGACTGCCAACTCTTTAAAATACATCAAAACAGCACGGAAACAATATTCAGTTGAAGAAAAGATGAAAGTTATTCTCAGTACAATCATCCCCATTTAAATTATAAAGTTTGAAAAAATAGATTTAAAATAACGTGTAAGGCCACTGAGACAGCATGCTGTTGTTGCACATAAAATATTAATGTTTAGAACAGTGCAAATACAAACACCATTAGAAACTCATAGTTCAGCATCACACACCATGATATGGGTTAAAATGAGAGCCCATCTCTCTCCAAAACGGTGCCAGTTTTAGCATTTTGCAATAAAGAAATAAGAATAACTAAACTTGATAATTTGTTACAATTTTAACATAAATGCACATTGTTCTAGAAGGATGCATCATGCCATACCTTTTACACATTTACTCCAATTGTTATGCTGATAATACAATTTGTGAGGAAAAATGCATTAACTAGCGAGGTATTTCTGGGGAAACTTTTTCAAAGGAAAACACACACACACACACACACACACACACACACGCGCACACGCATGTATCTTTGCTGAGCCGCGGCGGTCTCAGTGAATCAGCAGCATCCACAACTGAAAGGAACAAAAAGTGTTGAACTTGAAAATTGTTTATGCGCGAGTGCACTTGCTAAATGAAGGCGGATTGCATAACATTGATTTTTTTTTAAAAACGTTACGAGCTGCAGTTTTATTACATCACGCGCTGGCACAGATGAAGTATATTAACGCCACAGGTCATCAATAAGGTGCAGATTTGGTCCTCAATTTGTGTTTCCAACACACTTTTTCACAGCGCGCATCACGCGCTCAAACTCATCAAAAGTCAACAAGTTCAACAAGCAACAACGACTTATCCAAGTGACCGCACGCGAGAGAGGCAGCGCAGATCGCGCGTCTCATAAGTGAGTGGGAATTTACTAGGGATGCAACGATACCACTTTTTCCAGTACTACTTTTTATTTTTGGTACTTGCCGATACAGAGTACCGATACCAATATTTTTATTGCATTTGTAAATTTTTTAAATATTGGGTACAGAAACCAAAAGAGTATGTCTAATGTTAGTTGGTTAACTTCATTTATCAAAGACAAGAATTCAGCTTGATAATGTTAGATAACTTTGATAAAAAAGTATGCAATAGATTACAATAAACCAAAAACTAGACAGCTGTTAGTATGACAGTATTTACACAACTATCAATAATTAGTCGGGCAACCCTTAGCCTCAATGACAGCCTGTAGTCTCCTGGGCATGCTGTCACCCAGCTTCATGCAAACCTGAACTTCAATGTTTTTCCCAGACTCAGTCTGAAACCAGAAAGTCGTGTATGCCTAAGGTAGAAAATAAATGATGTCTATAGTGAATGCCCCTATAAATGGTTTTATTTTTACGATTTCGTTTTAATCCAAATGATGCGTGTGCTAAGTGAGTGAACATCAAAGATCACACAACAGAATTGCGCTCTCTCTCTACCGTTAAGTAACTTGTGCATTGTTTTACTTACTTGTTTTTGACATATCCGACCGAGCTACAAACTTTCCAGTGATGTCTGTGAGAAAGGTATATTCACTCGACAAGCTTGTGTGCTCAATCCACTCAGCGGGCTTTGTTCATCAGCTCGTGCACATCAGCTAAACAGGTGTTAACACTGAATGTTTAACATTATATTCATTGCATACATATACTTCGTAGTAGACATCCTTAACTCCATTCTGCTGTCTGTTGTTCTGTTGTCGGTGTTTCTTTGTCTGAATATGGCACTTATCACATGCTGTGTGGTATCGGCGTTTGGTATCGGGGCATTTTAACGAGTACGAGAACGAGTACAGGAGCTCAGTATCGGGTGCATCCCTAGAATTTACCGAACGTGGCACTTGCGGCAGTTAACACTGTATGCAATACCCGCAACCTCACACCAAATTTCAGGCCGAGTAGATAGGCAAGAATTATACAAATCAAAATAGCGGAGTCAAAGTACCGATGCATCACTTAAATTGTACTCAAGTAAAAGTAAAAATACACATTTTTTAAACTACTCAAAAAAGTACAATTACTGATAAAAACTACTTAATTACTGAACGTGAGCATTTGTAATTCGTACTTCACACCCCTGCAAGCTAGTAACTTGCTAATCATGCTAGCGACATACTAGTCACTTGCTAATCATGCTAGCAACATGCTAGTCTACTATTTCTTATTGATTTATCTATCTGTCTGTCTATTTATCTATCTATTTTTCTGATAGATTGCATTGCCTTCAAAACTTTAAAACTACTTCAAATTAGTTAAAACTGGAAACCCTCAAACTTTAAGCTTTTAAAACTACTTCAAACTTTCTGGCTAGGCATTTTCAAGCCAACTTAAAGTTTGCCTACAAACTTTACTATCTAGTTTTAGTTGATAAATACCACATTTCAGCTACCATTTTGTTAGAGTGGTTACACAAAATTTTACATTAATGAGTTTAAGAGAAAGAACGATCCATTGTGATCAAATAAAATATCACATAAAAAAGCCATCAAATTAGTTAATTGAATGTGATTAGTTTTACTGAAATAGTAATCTCAGGCACTTAACAATTTGGTCAAATGGCTGATTGAAAAGCCTTTACAGATGCCTTCCCTAGTGAAAAATAAATATACAAAAATTTATTTGAAATACATTTATTTCATGCTATACTACAAATGCATTTGCATATTATTTACATATCACTAAACTGGTATACTTAATGTTTGCTAAACTGGAACAACCAATTTTTACTTAATGCACTTTAATTGTAAGAAAGTAGTGCTGAAGTCTAACTAAAGATATACTGAAGTATATTTAATTGTGCTAAAAGTGAAACTATTGCAAGTATGCTTCAGGTACACTTTAAATATCATACATTTAAAGACCGATATTATTAGAAGATCATACAGCCCTCATCAATAGTGACATTAAAACACATTTTAGGCTTAATATTGAGAAATGTGCATTGTGCATAAGTAGTACTCCAAATAAAGTTTAATTATAATTTTTATATCAGTAAGTATCGAGTGATATGTCAGTAAATAGACAATAAATTAAGTAAATAAAATGCTAATAGATTTGAACTAGTATGAATGTGTGTCATAAAGAAAGTTTCAGATGGAATTGTGAATTGTACATGAAATAGTAGCCTACTCTGACTGGCTGACTTGTAAAGCTTGGTCGAAGTCCACATAAGACTGTGGGATACTGCCATTTATGGAGAGTGAGTAAGTCTTTCTTTTTCACAGCAGTGATCCCAGGTGGACATCTGTATAATGTTTTACTCACTGCATTTCTTGTATCCTTTCCCCAGTCATATCCTTTGTTTATGTCTGTCTGTCCCTTCTCTGCATTCTCTCGCTTGTAGCTAAGCAGTAACTGAGTGCCTATATGATAACACCCATAGTAAAAAAAAAAAAAAAAAAGTAATATATTTAAAATACATATATTTCATACTAAGTATAGTTCAACTCGATTAATATATTTATTGGCATATTGCTCAAGACTTACTGATATAAAAATTATAATTAAAGTTTATTTGGACTACTACTTGTGCACTATGCACATTTCTCAATATTAAGCCTATATGTGTTTTAATTTCAGTATTTATGATGGTCTTTAAATGCAAGATATTTAAAGTGTACCTGAAGTATACTTGCAATAATTCCACTTTAGCACAATCAAATATACTTCAGTATATTTGTATTTGGACTTCAGCACTCTTAAAGTGCATTAAGCACAAAATTTAAAATTGTTCCAATTTATCAGACTTTTAAGTATACCAGATTAGTATACTAAAAGTACCATTGCAGGGTATTTTTATTAAGTACATAAATATGTAAATGTATTTGTAGTATACTTAGCATGAAATAAATGTATTTCAAATACATTTTAGTATATTTATTTTTCACTAGGGACATACCATCAGAATGTAAGTTATTGGTTACTACCCCCTAGCTAGCTACACCTCGCTGACAATGAATTCTGGATACTTCATTTTCTCCCTCATCATCCAGCTCTTTGTCACAAAATAAGGTAATATTAATATTATTACATCTTCAGCAGTAAAAAAACTGGTTTCTTCTCATGGTTGACCTACCTGGCTTACATGTGGTGTTAGCCATTTTGACTCAAGTGCTATCCACAGGCTTTAGCTAAGGCACTCACAAACATAACGTTACTGCATAGCTTTCTGCTTTATCCACATTCTAACAAGTTGCATACTGTCAAAATGCTACAGCTTAGATTACAGAAATATAATATATAAAACTGACATTTTGATATTTGACTTACCAGTGACAAAATGGTTACTGCACACGTAGGCATAATGAGTGTCAGGATCCACTTTTGTCTCCTTAAAGGCTGGCTTTTACGGTTCGGTAGCTTATAAAAACTTAGTTCTGGGTGTTTTTTTTAGCTTGTTTGCTGTACACCTTGTCACACAGCAGCTTTTAGGCATTGTTCTGTGTTTTTTTATATATATACAGTATATATAAGTCAGAAATGACAAGGAGGCAGCTGGGAAGCAAAGTGCAATGCAAAGTCAATGGAGAGGGTTGGATTGTTT